GGACAACAGAAAAGTGGGTGAAGGGAGACGTCGGACAGTGCAAGATATGACAAAACAATAATTTATAAATTATCTAGGGTTCATGAGGGCAGGAGGAGCGGGGTGGGAGGGGGAAAATGATGAGCTGATGCCAGGGGCTTAAGTGGAGAGCAAATGTTTTGAGAATGATGAGAGCAATGAATGTACAAATGTGCTATACACAATTGATGTCTGAATGGATTGTGATAAGAGTTGTATGAGTCCCTAATAAAATGATAAAAATAAAAAAAAACAAAAAAATAAAGACCCATGAAAACAGTAAACATAGGATGTGGGACAAGTGTGGATACACTGTGGGGATTGTAATCAATATCACAAAACATTAAACTGAGCTGTTGAGTAGGACTTGTTGAATGAAAATGAATTTGCTTTGTAAACTTATCCAGATCACAATAAAATGAAGTTTTTTTAAGTATGGAATTGCAGAAATAACTTTTAGATATTCCACACTGTTGTAGATTATTTGATTCATTAATAGAAATCCATATTTACTTTCCCTATGCAATCATTTCTTTTTTGAATTTAGTAAATAATTTTTAAATTTAGGAGTGATCGACCTAATTTATATCAATGCAGCTTTCTTAGAAACAAACATCCTGGTGGGTGAAACACTGGGATTACAATGTCTTTTAGACCAGTGAAGCACACACTAAAGACCTAGGCACTCAAATATTTGGTTTTAAAAATCCTACAGGGCTACATACAGAACCCACAACAATGACTTGGCCTCAAGGGTCAGTGAAAGCTTCTTTGTTACTGCCCACAAGGGACGTGTTCAGAGTAGCCTTAGAAATAATGAATAAGCAAATTCCAAACTCACAGGAAGTCATATTAAAATGTTAACACAAGGAACCCCAAAGTATACACGAGCCTTTGAAGTGAAATTTCCTCCAAAGTGGTTTGCCCTCTACTCACCCCCTCCCCAGGTTCTCTGGAACTCCTTGCCCCAAATTACAGTTAACCAGAGTCCAGAATGCATTGAAAATTCATCAGAGTAAGGGATTTGCTTCATATCACTTTTCTCCTGTATGATGTCATTGTAAGCAAGACACCCTTATTCACAAAAAATTCCTTTAGCTATAAAATCATTTAAGAGGATGGGCACAATTATACCACGCTTTTTCCTGTTGTAGTCCCATTATGCTTCCTACACAAACAAGCTATCACTTATTGCTTGTGTGACCACAGGAGTGAATCCCTAGGGCCTTAAATAAAAGTTTTATTACACACTGGTTAAGAAAATGGTCTGGAGCCATGTAATGGGGCTTTGTTTCAACTACCGAATCGTGAACTGAAAAGATGAGTGACACTGAATTACACATGTGGAAGTGGTAGAATGGGAGAATGTTTTAATGTGTATATTTTTGCCACAATTAGGGGGAAAAAACCATGAATAACAATGAGTGCAAGGAAGAAGAAAATGTACTAGAATTGAATGTGGTGCTAATTGTACAACTTGATATGACTGAATTATTGAATTGTATGGCATGTGGTTGAAATGCTAATAAAACTGTTTAAAAAAAAAAAGATGAGTGAATTTGTGGGTTTTCAATTCAAATTTTCAACCATGGAAAAACAAGCCAAGGTCACTGTTACTGAGTTGATGCCAACTCATAGTGACCCCTCAGGACAGGGTATAAATGCCGTTGTGAGTTTCTGAGACTGTCCCTCGTTACGGGAGAAGACAGCACTGGCTCTCTCCCTCGCAGCAGCAGTGGTTTCACACTGCTGACCTCGTGGATCACAGCCTAACTGGTAACCACTACAGAGGTAACAGAGGTAATATTAGTACCTGCTTCAGCGAGTGTTGCGAGGAAAGAATATCTTAATGTATCAAACCTTAAAATCCTACACAAAGTGGCTATTCAATAAGTAGCAGCTGCTCTTATTGCTGTTGTGAACCTTATCATTATTATCCCTGATATCACCTCCTCCTGTACCACTCATTTTGCTCCAGCATTTGGACCTTCACTGTGACCCAGAGAGCCTGTTTGCATTCTCACCTTTGAAAAATCACCCTTCTTGTCTATAATGACCATTAATCAGATGTTGTCCACTTTCATGGTCCAGCCCATGGATCTTTTAAACTCATCTCTTTGCCAATCAAACCTCCGGATCACCTCTTTCTCAAGTATGGGTGGCTCATGAGGCGTGCTTGGGTCAGCACTGTGAACTTTTCAGTTCAGGAGGTGAAGGCAATATTAGCTTATCCGTTCCAAGGCCCCTGCCCCCATATGCCCTGGAAAAACAGGAGTCCGTTTTCATACCTCCTCCACAGTCCAGCTTACATAACACTTGCCTGACATCTCATAACCCAGTCCCTCAGTGCTTCCAGGCTAAACATTAAATGGCATTAGTAAATGGGAGTGTGAGGATCTTTGGCCAGATTCCAGCAACTAAAAGAGACAGTAATTTTAAATTCTCACCTCAAAACAGCCTGTCTTGTACATTAGCCAAATTCTTCTAGTTCTGAACTCTCTAAGGACTGCTTTGACCTTCTGCTCTGACACCAGAAACAGAGCCAAGACTCCATCCTTTCTGCAAACACTGACCATTCCCTTACAGCCAGCAAAGGTACTGTGGCTTCCCAAGGTTCGTGCATCGCACATTGGTACTCACCAGTCAGCAATGCATCCAGTTATAAGGTAGCCAAAGATTAATCCAACCAGTAAGGAGAACTTAGCGATGTGGACCTTCCAGGCATTATCACACACAAGATCCCACTGGAGAGGAGCAAACAGAAAACAAATCAGAAAAAAACATTCACAGATGCTGTTTGTCAATCATCCGATGATACAATAACATCTTCAATGATTGTGACACTTTTCAGGTCTGGGTTATACATACCAGGAAGAGTTTTTAAAAATCCGACAACTTGAAACATACTTTGCTCACAAAAGGCAATGTGGCATTTTAGTCCAGGATAAATTACAAAGGTAACAGGAGTGATGCTAGAGGCCTGGCGAGCATGCTCCACAGTCTCAGTTGCACAGGCAATGTAAAGCAAGGGGCAGGGGAGCATCTAAACATGCTGAAGCCCCTGCGTAGCAGCAGCATCTGCTCTGCCAGCAAAGCTGTTGCCAGAAGCCCATAGTCAGATGGCACTGCCAATTATTTGTACGGGGCATCACAATAACATGAGAAAATCAAAGTAACTTTCACATTTTCTTCCTCAAAACACTAACAAACGTTTGTAAGAAGTATTCAAAATAAAGGTTCTTGGGAGTTAATACTGATGCTTAAAATTCACTTTTAATGAAACATTCTTGCGTTTTCACCTGTCATTTTCCTATGTTCTATATTCCATGTGAAAGCTATTGGCTCTACTTGAAGGAAAATCCCATCTAGTAGATACAACTTGTTGACTATATTAAGACTATTAGATCTTGACGCTTTAAAGAAAATAGGAAAGCATTCCACTCCTGATTTTTCTTTTCTCCAGATGAACAAGCAGGGAGGAAGACCCCCATTTGTTCCTCCATGTGGTGTATTTTCAGGCCCAGGAGATACACACAGAAACACACGGGGAACACAGGGAACATATGATAAATGCATGAAAACATACAAAAAATACATGCAGAGCACAAGAGGAGCCCAGAAAGGCATACAGAAACATACAGGAACACATGGGAGCATGGGAGAAACACATGAACACATACAAGAAAACATGGAAACAGAGAGCACACAATGGGCACAGGAAAACATGGAAACACATAGCACACAGTGAGCACAGGAAAACATGGAAACATACAGAGATGCAAAGGAACATAAGGGAACATATAAGGCTTATACTCATGTATAAGCCGAGTTTTTCAGCACATCTTTTATGTAGTTTTTGTGGTAAAATTAGGTGCCTCGGCTGATTTTCGGGTTGGCTTATACTTGAGTATCTACAGGAATAGATGAGCGTGTAGAAAAATTACAAGAACAATGGGGGAATACTCAGGGAGCACAGAACACACATGGAAACAGGACATACATGAAAACAAGTGAATTCTGCTGAGGAAGGCCATGTAATACGTTCCCCTCCACTGTCTGTGGGTTCTTACCTACCACAATGAGCCTTTTGGTAGAATCAAATGAGTAAAGCTTGCAGCTCTGCAGGTCAGTGGACATGGAGGAGTGAAGGTGGAGGGGGATATTGGAAGGGAAGTGAGGAAATGTCAGAACAGAAGGAATGAACAGTATTTGTGGAGCAGGGGCCTCTTTCTTTCCTTTTTTTACTTTTTAAATCTTTTTAGCTTCCTATATATATATTAATCATTTTATCATACAGCTTTAATCACAATCAACAGATCCACCCATTGTGTCAAGCATATTTGTACATTTGTTGCCATCATTTTTCCAAACATTTTCCTTCTACTTGAGCCCTTAGTATCAGCTCATTTTTCCTTCTCCCTCCTCCACCCTCCCTTCCTCCCTCGTGAATCCTTGATAATATATATATTATTATTTTTTCATGTCTTACATTGACCGATGTCTCTCTTTACCCACTTTTCTGTCATCTGTTCCCCCAGGAGGGGGTTATATGTAGATCATTGTGATCAATTCCCCTTTTCTCCCCCACCTTCCCCTTCCCCTCCTGGTATCGCTACTCTCATTATTGGTTTTAAGGAATTTATCTGTCCTGGATTCTCTGTGTTTCCAGGTCTTATCTGTACCAGTGTACATGCTCTGGTCTAGCCAGATTTGTATGGCAGAATTTGGGTCATGATTGTCGGGGCAAGGGGTGAGGGGAAGCATTACATAAC